ACAGTGTAAAAACACTGATAAACATGGGTAGGAGACAGCTGGGAGCTGGAGAGGAATTAGAGGCGGCAGGATTACAACCTTTTGAGGGTGAGATGACACAAGGTGTTTCATGAGAAAGAAGTGGAGTGAGTGGGTATGAAGAGGTAAAAGATAAATACAACATGATACTAAATACTGATGACACACAATTATAAAAGCAGCCTCTTGGTCTAGATCTGAGTTCTTGAAGGCAACTGCTTGTGTAGGCCAACCATCTTGTGCTGTGTCCACATGGTCCATATCTCTGCTGGAACATTTTTACAGTTCTTATGCATATGGACTGCTTTCACGTCCTTCCTGTCTTGGTCATTAAGAGAAGGGGGATATACAACACTACACGTAGTGTACAAAAGTGGTGGTAACAGCCAACGTAGGTGGTTTTGCACAGGCAATCATCTCAAAACTGCTAGTTACAAGAAACGTCACCCACAGTTTTGGATTTTTGCTAACTGTTAATTCCTCACAAGAGTGTGAAGAATTTAAGAAAAGATCTAAATAATGAGTTTAGTGCTACTACATTGACACCACCACTCTTTGCTAGATCCCAGTAACCCAGGAAGGAGTACTGCAGGTAGCTTTAGAGATATTTTCTCAGGAAGGGTTAAGAAAGCTGTCCGAAGGCGAGTCTCAGATTTAATGAAGTATAGTCTAAAGTCTTCTGGAAAAGAAACATGATATGATAGTACATCTCAAGAGAGACTCTTATTCACAAGGGGCAACGGGCCGGGAAAAAGCTTCTTAATAGCTTTTAGGTACATATGTTAACCACATCTAAGCTGTATTTCCTAATATTTCTGTGGGTTTGGAGAAGAAATTTGGCCAAACTGGCAATTTTGGCAAATTAAAAGAAATCTCTCTAGTCTGGACATAATGTCTGGTTTGTAAAACAGGACACATTTATTTAGCATTTTTTACTTTGCTGATGAAAAAGAATCAGTTTCATCTGGCAGCAAAAATATCAGGTTGTCTGAAGAATTTCTAAACTGTAGTTCCTCTCAGGATATTCATTTCAGCTAGCATTTTACTGCATGAAAACTTTGATTACTTTTAGAAGGAACATTTGGGCTGGATAAGCATGATACATTTTCCCAAACTGTATCATCTTTGGTTATTTCAAAGCAACCAAAAGGAAATTTGCTGGGATAATATACACAAACATATAGTGCACTTTTAAGCACTTTATTTTAAATTGAGTTGTTGTGCTTTGAAAAACTGCATCTGAAATTACCTAGAAGTATCAAAAATAGCAAACTAAGAGCTTAGATTAAATAAATACAATTTTTTGTAGCAGAGGTTAGATAAAATTCTCTAGCTGAGAATAATACTTCACAGTGGCAGTGGTGAATAGGCAATAACTCCAGTTCCATTCAAGTTAGCAGCAATGTTATGAGTCATGTTCTGGTATTAGAGAAACATTCCTTTGACAATTTCAAAGACGTATCTAACAAGGTGCTTTTTGGTGATAAATCTTTGCACGTTCCCCCAATGGCTAATGATGAATGCAGCTCACAGTTTCTTGTACAGGTCTTTTTGCTTTGTAGAAAGCCATGTCTAAAGCCCTCCTAGACCTTTATCAGGCATTTGGATTCAATTTCGTTTTGATTTTGGATTAATCAATGGAAGAGGAAATGATTTTGCAGACTGTCCAACATTTCTTTATTCTTTTCACTAACTCAAGTCCACCTTTCAGACTTTCATATCCCTCAATGCCCTTTACCCAGCAATATCTTAATATTATTTATACTGTTTTGTATTCCAAATCACTTTTTTGCATATAAAATTTTTACTAGTTTAGGTTTTTCAGATTAAAAAAAAAAATATTAGAAGGGATTTTTTTTTTCCCTGAACAGTTTACTTCTATAAACATATTTTGACTGCAAGAGAATCTGAGAAGAATATATTTTATGATATTTTTTATAAATAAAATCTTCTATCAGGTACTGGCTTTATTTTTCATGCTTCTTCATCTATTTTTACATTATCTATACGACATCTATACACCTACATGATTTTATATCTTTTGATAACTTCTTAATATTTTATTGACTTTTAATTATATGAAGCTGTCCACATAACTCTCTGCCCCTTCAGAAAGCTCTTCCTCAATCTGAGTAACAATACTATTTTGCCTTTAAAACATATAATTCAGTTCTTTGCTTAAAATTATTCCTATTTCATATTTGGGCTCCTTGATTCACAGAAAATTACTGGAACAAAGCCTCCTCCCTTGGTAACAGAGATATATATTCAGCATCTTTCAGTAAGAAAGAGGAACGGGCATCAACTGTCCGAAGACAGGACCTCTAAAATGAGGAGAGGTTATAAAGAGAAATTAAGTTGAATTTCTTTTCCCATCTAACTGACATAACTTCTTTTTCATTCAAGCAAGATGTGGGATGTAGTAAAGAATGCAATAAATGTTCAAGATTTAATTCAAACCCTTTAGGTAAATTTCCTGTCATACTGCAAGAAGATATGGCTTCAAAGCTGGCACAAATATCTGGGAGTTCTTCAGTGAGCAATACCAAAAGGAGTTTGCCTTCTTGCACAGCAGCTGATGCAAAGTATCTGGAAACAGAGACCTGTAAGATGTATGCTCTAACAGTGGGTATATTTTTGCCTTGCTGTTTAAAAGTGAAAAGATTTTACTTTGCTGCCTCTGCAACTGGAATGTTCTAGCCTCTCCCTTCTTTCTTGGTGCTTGGCATATGATGTGTCTGTTGCTGTTACAGCTACATATCCAAAACGAGATCAAAAAAAGGAGGAAAGGCAGATGTGGCACAAATACCATCTTGAATATCACTCTTAAGTGAAAAGTAAGCCTTCTCCAAGAGGAAGTGAGCAGATGAAAAAAGAAGGGCTCCAAACATGCAAAGTCTGGTGGAAAAACTGCATCACCACAGGCAAACAGTGAGAACAGGAAAAGGATGAGCTTTCCCTCATCTTGAGAGTATGAAGCCCAGATTCAGTTCTAGAAACCTCATGGCTTTTATGATGCAACTCTGATACCAGCTGAAGCAGGTTATCCTGGGGAGAAATCTGGTCTTTGAAGAAAACAGCAAATGCAAGCCAGTCATGAATCTTTCTTTGCAGTAGCTGGTATGAGGAATGACGCTGCAGCTCATGCTGTCTTGGTTTTTTGTTGTTGTTGTTTTTTGTTTGTCTGGTTTTTGGGGGGAGTTAAAATGTAGTACATGGTGGCAAATTATCTATCATCTATTCATGCAGCTCTCAAAAGAGGAGGTAGAAGGACTTTGGACACAGTGCGGACTCACACAGAGGTATAAGATACAGATATGAAGGGCCTGCTCCTTCAAAGACCGTTAATCATAAGCTGGGTACAAAATAGAACATGCTTCCCAATCCAGGACATAGATCAATCATGAGTAAAGCTGCAGGCACTGTACATTACTGGAAAAGCTACTGCTACAGTTGAGGAGGAGACCCTGCAAGCAAGTTTGGCATGAGGCATGACAAATACATCTTTTGCTGTATGCCCCATGAAGGACAACCTGGATGAAAGCCAACAGTGTCACAAGCCTGTCTGCCAAAAGACAAACCTTTGTGGCACAAGGGTCCAGTACTTCCCTCACAAACTGGGCAGGCTATGCAGGCATACAACAAGCTTCTGAACTTTGACAGGATCATGGAAGAGTGAAAGTATCGTGCAACATGATCAATGTTTCTCTATGAAGAGACAAAACATACCACCTGGAACTGGCAGTGACCTATGATATGAAAAACATGTAAAAAAGCTGGATGGGATTTTTTGCTTTGTTTTTCTAAGTTTTTGTTTTGGTTTTTTTTTTAAGAATTATAACAGTTGCCATTTCCTCTTGATCTCTTTTAGAGTCATATCTGACAATTTGGTGACAGACTAAGGAGATTCTTCTAGCAAGAGGACTCCTCACATCTCCTTCCTCTCTCCCATTGCCCTTCCATCCCCATTCCTAAATCGGTTTAATAGTACTTAGTGCTACAGCAATTTCTTTTTTGGTATAGGTGTCTAGCCCTACCCTACTTCAGATCAGTTCAAGGCGTTTCTAAAACCACAAACATCACACAACAGTGTTAGTGCACTAAGGCTACATAAACTACAGCCAACAAACCATACAAGCAGTGGACTTCATGTGCATGGCTTTATGACACAGCATACTGTGCTCTCCCCATCTCCTGCCTGTTCAGCATCCTAAAGATTGATAGTGGCCTGAAATGGAATTGTAATCGGGAGTTTTGATCTGAATCAAGCAATTACCAGAAGTGCTAAACTAACTGCTTTGCAGAACTGAGCTCTTGATTATCCAAGGGTGCAGTAAAAGCAGAAGCTTTCTCACAGTAATTTACTTGTGTATCTCAATCTCTGCTCATGCAAGTTTAAAATGATAAACTTAATTGACCATTACCAATATCTCAAACTTTTCCAACACATGAGAAGTTATTTAAGTAAAAAGAAAAGTAAAGCAAACACAGGGCCACAAACACCATTATTCTGGAGAAAGCAATAAGATTTGGCACACTCTAAGGGACTTGTTTTAAATTTGACAGTCTTGACTGCAGTGGTATTGTAAACAATATTATGCACACAAAGACATTAGAAACTTTACAAATATTACTGAAATCTTACAGTACACCTGTGAGGAGAGTATTGTTTTGCTGACTGAACAAGCAATACATAGAGAAGCTGAGGCATAAAAGAGTTAAGCAAGTTGATTAAGTTCACAAAGCAAGTCTGTTGCAAAATAAGAACAGAACTCAATCTCACAATTTGCAGTCTGTGTCTTTCCCGTAAAATCATTATTCTTCCCCTTCAGGTTGTTATTTAGGAGTGTAGTAGCTACCTTGTTTAATTCTCTCGACCCTGACACAGACTATATTTCTACATTATATAATGTGCTTTCGCAAACAGGAAAGTTTTGTTAACACACAGAATTGTGGAAATGAACAAAACCAGAGGAGCTTACCCAAATCCAGAAAACAAGCGACAGAAGAGGAAGAAGCCATAGCCCTGGACAAATGATGAAAGGAAGGCAAAGAATCCATTGACAGACATGCATATCAGGAGTGACTGCCTCCTTCCCACCTTGTCTGCCAAGCCTCCCCAGAAGAATGCCCCCACCATCATCCCAAGGTACACTATGCTACCTGCAATACACAAAAAAAAAAAAAAGATGTTGTTTTGTGAGCTGCATAACTGACCACAATTGACCACACCAAAAACAGTTGAACTTCTATATTTCCAAAACAAACAGTATAGAGATTAATTTCTCCTTACTCAGTGAATAGAAATTATATGCATAGCTTTGCAAATGTACCTAGGGAGAACAGATTTCCTACTGTGTCTTTGTCATCTGTTACCAGACATAGTGAAGCTTAATATAATTATTAAACAGGGTGCCTCTAGCTAAAACAATTGAAATGCAGACAAATAAGACTGAATGGGAGAAAGAATGCCACTATTTCTACAGTAATAAACTGCATTCATGTTAAATACTGCAAAAATTAAAACTTCCTCTACAGAAACAAATTGTCTGAACACCTCTAGAAACATTTCGAATATAAGTGGTCCTGTAGGGGATTAATCACTGGGAGTGAGATGTGCTAACTCTAAAGGAAACTGATTATGAAACAGACACTTTCCATTTGAGATCTATAGAATCAAAGATGTCATGCTTGATTGTTTTTCCACCCCCTCCTACTTCAGTGTACTGCTTTATTTAAAAAGGCACTGTCCTGTATACAGAAAAGCACTGGAATGTTTTGGGTTGGTTTTTTTTTCAAAGAATTTTGAATGTTACAGTTTAGCTATATACATTAAAATGAGATAGGGAAGAACTATTTTGGGGTGATTTTTTTTAATGTTAATGATGTTTTCACCATGAAGTACTTTCCACAGAAAGATAAGTTGACGTATTTAACACTTTGACAATTCACATCTTAGCATATTTTACATTATCTACTTTCCAGGGACAAACCTTCTGTGGGACATTTGACAAAGATGCACAACACATTGAGCAGACTGTCAGAAGAAAAAGTAGTTCCCAAGCTTTGGACAGAACCAATCAGATTTGTATTTTGTTTGATATTTATATTATTCTTTTTCCACCTACCTTCTTATTGAAATTCCCAGATTTCGTTTTATTTACATAGCAGTTGCTACCATCTTACATGTCTACTACAGATTTTAAATTTAAAGTAGCTGGAAGCAGCTAATATACTAGCAGACCTTGTCCTGTGTCTCTTTTCAATCACCCACAAGAACAGACAAATTCCCCAGCAACTCTGCTGGACTTTAATTGCTGTTGTGTAAAATTCTGGTCTCCAAAAGAATCACCTCTGTCCTGCAAAAGGTAGGTGGAAGGGAAAGAAAGCTGAACAAAATACTTAAAAGACCTTAGCTTGGTTAACTGCATATTAACGTAGAGGTCGTTCATCAGTATTTCCATGCTTGGAATTCCAGACGTTAACATCTGCAGTGCTGATGTCTGCAGGGTCTCGTGCACCCCAAAATGTCCCTGTTCCCCCTCATGTTTTGTATAAGTAGTTTCCGCTCCTGCTTCCTTTTGAGACGTTATTTTAAAACATTTGATAGAACACATATTATGTTAAATGTATATTAGCAAGGTAGTTATGTTTTGGTTAGGTGTGTATGCTGTTTTTATCAATGCCCTTTGCCATTGATCATGACCAATACTAGCAAATCAGTCTTTTCTGCAGCTGCCTTTTTAGCCAACATAAAACAGGAATAGGATATTTCTAGACTGACTGTCTTCTCCATGAGTCACTCAGGACAGGATGACAGATCCATTGCTGCTCATCACAGGAGCATTAACTATCTCTTTACCTAAGCAAGACCAACAAGCTCCTTAAGAACAACAGTTAAATGTCTTCTCAAAACACCTTTTGTCAATGGACATTTTCTAGCTGTTACTGGGATCTTAGTCTTTCATCAAACGATATTAATGAGAATGTAGGTAAATCCAGAATTTGTAGAACTCCTAAGATATCTTTGTTCTGTTTCCTCTTAGCCCAGGAAGAATACAGACACTACAAGACTATATTTTTGATTTAGAGGTGTTTAGCAACAGACCTTTATCAGATAGCTCCTCCATTCTGATCAGCAATTTTTATTCCAATGATTGAGAATTTCCTGAGAATGCACACACAGCTCATACATTTTCTGGTCCTAAAGAGACAAAGCTTAGCGAGTGGCTTAGCATAGTTGCACAACTGCTTTAAGATTTCTCCTGTGGAGAAGGTGTGTGTGTATATATATATATATATATACACATTATACAAATAGTCTTAATTTTAGCAAGTAACTACGTTCCTTGTGATGCACAGAAAAATCAAAACACTATGAATGATGAAAGAAAAAAGTGTCCAAGTCTTGAGAGTTTAAAAACGTTAACCTTTCTTTTTGATGACAAGTCTTTTGGTCATTGTACTACACTTTGGTCTCTCTTATACACAAGTAATTCTCCTGAAGAGCATTCAAAAATGTTGCTAAAAATAATATTCTCCTCCTATCAATAAACTGCTATAAATAAGCTGCTCTCTGAGCTGCACAACTAGCTTATTCTTTCTCATTATTTCAACCTTGAATTTTTTCCTAATTGCCTTGCAGATGCTGCACAATCCCTCTCCCCCACCGAATATCTGTATCCCTTCCATCCTGAACCTACTGCAGCTACCAGTGATACCTGCTTCAGTGTATTTTCCTGTCTTTCTTCTTTTTCATAATTTCTGTCTCTCTTTATACAGAACATAACCCTGCCTGCAGCCCATAAAGGAAGTCCCCTTCCTTTCAACTTTTAAATCATTCCTTAAGACCCTTCCCCCTGCAGCAATATTCACAATAAGCCATAAAAGTGACAAATGGCAAAGGAGAACTCTAACTATGAACAGTTAAAATAGCTGAACAACCACCTAAAGAATGCAAGTAACCAATGACACCAGTTATCATTTTACCCTTCATCACCCCTTCCTTTCCAACCTTTGTAGCTCTTGTTTGTTATGTCATGCCACTGGTCAGAACATAAATCCCATGAAGAAAGCACTATAATTTTTTGTACACCTTTCATAAATTGCATATTACATTTTGCACGAATTTATATGTGTAAAAATTAAATATTGTGTTGTTGGTCAGACCTTGCTCCCTTCTCTCATTACGTTTAAACACTGGTCATCGAAACAATAATTGTATGGGTGTACATATATGTATATAGATTTTAATCTAGCATGTTACCCTGAGGGTGGTACTTCGTTTTTGAGCAGCTACTACCGATCACAAAACTGGCTGCTTTTCTTTTTGTTTTTGCTACAGCACATGTGTGCCTCTAAAGAAGTTAGCTTATACAGCACAAGGCACACACTTATTTGGCATCCAGCATGACCCTAGAAATATATTTTTTTAAATTAAAGTTTATTTTAAAATACAAAGACTACCAATGATATCTCTAACATATGTCTTTGATTTTCCCCACAAAGTAATGTGTAATCTCCAAACTTGTCATTTGGTGGGAAGGTACTCAGAAGAGGCAAGTGGCAGCTGAAAAGAAACCCACATCATGCTAAAATGAATATTCTCTTCTATTGTCAAGTTTTAACAACCTGTATTTTCACTCCACAGCAGAAATTCTACATACTTCAATGATTTTCCCCGTTGTACAAATGTACAAAATACACACTTGCATCCTCTTCTGATGAGGGACCCGAGTCTGGAATTGGTTTACACCATGAACACACTTTGGCTACCAGGTTGCTAGATATTTTTTAAACGGGTGTGCACACAGCATCTTTCAGGTTGCTACCAACAGCTTAACCTTACAAAGCAGCCAACCAGGAACTCCCTCAATATCCAAACAATAGTTATGGGCAATTTAAGCAATGGGATAAGAATACATGCATGATCAGCCACTAAGGTTCAGTTAAACAGTATTTTACTCCTTGTGCTGCCATACCTTCATTACTTGCCACTGTCTATTGCAATCCATAGCCTGGTATCTAAATGATAGCCAAACCCTTCTGAGAAATCAGTCTGTAAGTATACAGTTCCCTGGGAGAAAATAAAGCAACGAAAGTAAGTCAGACTTCTTTGCAACAGAGACACTCAAGCTATGGGACTCACTCATGCTCGTCTTTTGCTTTAACAGGCCTATTATAAAGTAGATATAAAACTAGCCTGAAGTTGTGTTTTTCTGTTGTGTTGTTCAGGTCATTTGTCTGAGTGAGGAATGCATTTTATAAAACTGGAAAAAGTACTCTCATTTTAAAAAAGACTCTAAAAATAAGATTAAAATATTATTTATATTTTGGAAAACAAGATTATAAATGTGGTCCTAAGACAGCTCCAAGAAGAGAAAAACTCCTTTCATAAGAACTATACTGTACTTTAATCAGTGTTTTATTTACTTGTACTAGGATTTTCCCATATGCTATTGTTTAGAATATAACAATTCATACCAAAGAACTCCAATGCCTATAAGTAGCATAGTGAGTAAGAATATCCAGATTTATATTTTTTTTAACCCTGATAAACAGAGTTTAAAGATGCTAATCTTTCAGAACTATACTTTATTATAATCTGTTCTTAGTTTCTTTGATCAGAAAAGACTTTGAAAGCAATCACAACCCATGCAGCAACTAACTTCAGTCAAACATAATGTCTAATTAACTGTTTATAGTAGGAGGTAATTAAAGCAAACACTTTTCCATTAAGATGCCAAATATAAGAAAACAGTAATAACTCCAGAATTGGCAGAATTCCATTTTCTAAAACCACTGTTTTTGGATGTCTAAAACCATCTGTGTAGTCAGAACATTGAATCTTCAGTTCTTTTTTGTTATATTATGCCATTCACCTCCTCAGAGGTACTAACACTCCAACATTCTTGCAAAAAGAACTGCCACAAACTAATATTCCACTGTGACAACTACTTCTTTTCTGTAAACACTGCTTGAAGCGGTGGAACAATGAGCTCTATATTTATGGAATGGTAAATTCTTAAGGTGTAGATCTAAGTGGTTAGGAGAGTAAAACATTGATTGTTCAGCCATCTGAAAAAGTTGATGGGTAGTGTTTTCCAAAAAATGTTTGAGCCAGCCACCATATTAACTAAAATTAAAATTTTGCCTGAGTCTTT